AGCAGATCCTGGTCCCGCTAAGACTAGGGTCCCCTGGAGTTGGTGCCTGGAGCACAGATGTGTGGTCTCTGCTGCTGGTCTGTATCCAGATGCTCTTTCCTGGGTCAGGGCAACTGAGCCCTAGCTTCTAGTTTCTTAAACTGTGGATCATGACCCCAGCTGGGGTTATGTCATTTAATGTTGGGGACGGCAAAACACTGGGCAACAGTAAACGTTTTGTAAATGCACAGTGTTAATTAATTTGAAATTAATTCAAAAGTGAACGTCTTGGGAGTCTGAGGGGTTTCTGACAATGCTCACATTTCTGCATTTCTTGTGGGGGTCACAAGTGGAAAGAACTAAAGCAACTCTGGCCCAGTTGAGGTAGAAGCTGCCACCCAAGCTTGCGAACTCCTCTTCAGGAGCAATGAAGCAGCGATGCTTGGCAGAGATGCCCTTCCCCATCCCACCACACCCCAGCGATAACCCGCACACAGTCAACACTGACACTTAGTACGAAAGGTTCCTCAGTGTAAGGTGGAGGCAAAGTGACATAGTCCCAACCCAAAAGGTTCCCACTCTACTTTTCTTCCTTCACTTCCTTAGGAATTTCTCTTGCTTGTCACCCCACCCCCATCCCCTTCCATTTAGCTGCCCAAGAATCCCAGTATCAGGGGCTGGAGAAACAGCACCAAGGTTTAGGCACTCCCTTTACATGCAACGTGCCCAAGTTCAATTTCTGCACTGCCTGGTCTCCCGAGCACTGTCAGTGACATCCCACTCCCAACACTGAACCAGAAATAGTCCCTCAGCACTGCTGGATGTGGCCCCCCCAAACCTAAAAACCTACCCCCTGGCCCCCGCAAAAGACAAAATCCCAGTATCAGGCTCCACTACTTTGGCCATACGTATGTCTTGGCACTCTTTCCCCTGCCTAGCCAGATTTCATGGATTGGGAATTACCAGGAAAAATTTGGTGAAGAGAACTGAAACTTCACCAGAGGCTTTAAGGAGCAGCTTCTCATCTGTGGATCAATATTGATGAGGTATCTGCTAGTGTGCTAATGTCTAGTAGCTGTGTAGCTCTGGGGACCCAGTGGGACATGGCATACATGCAGTTCTGACCCCAACCCACTAATTAGGTCAGAGGGTCACCACCCCTCCATCCTATTTAGGGAAGCCCCACGAGAGTAATCAATTGAGTACAAAAAAGCCTTGAAAATGCTTTTAATTTCTTTTAATGTATAACAGTTACGCCTGAGTTACAGAAGAAGCGCTTACAAGCAGGTAGTTAAAGCAAATGCCAGTTTTTCTTTCTATTCTACTACTCCAGATAGCTGAATAAATTATGGTGCCATTATATTTAGCCATACAACCTCACACACACACACGCCCACGCCCACATGTACACACCACTCACATGTGTGCGTGCGTGTGCACGCACGCACACACACACACACACACACACACACACTCATTTCCACATGGGGGAAAATGACTGTGAGTCAACATGGAAGCAACCAAGTCGCAGTAACCAGAAGAAGGAATGATCTAGAGTGCTATGTAGATTATTTCCCAGGGAGGGGGGTTGGCCTTGTTCAAGCAGATGGAAAACGTGCTACATGGATGTCTCTGAGTATTACAAGATGGCAGCAGAGTTCCCCCACTTGGTCTTGGTTTGGTGCTTCTGGAGAAGAGAAGAGCTGTTGGCCTCCAAAACCATCAAGTCAGGCAGGGTGCGCTGGGCTCAGCTTGGTGAGCACAGACCCTTGGAAAAAAGCGCAGAGAGTGGGGACAAGGAGTTTCACCAAGTTCTAGGATCCAAGTCTCAGAATACTTTGCCAGCTCCCCCCAAAACACCAATGGGCTTGAACAGAGAAGGCCAAGTTCATAACCCGCCTGGTCCTCGAACCTCGATCAGACTGGAAATCTGACCTTCTCAAGTTTCTCTTCTGGGAAAACCTCTCTTCATTCTTCTCTCCTTCTCTCTTGTTCCCCCATCTCTCTCTCCTCCTTCTCTCCTCTCTCTCTTTCCCTCTCTCTCTCTTCTCCTTCATGTTCCTCGGGCAAAAGAATGGCAAAAGTAAATCAAGTAAAAAATAAGAATATAAAAGCATAGCGTGGTTCTTAGACATCACTTTTTTTTCATAGCAAGAGAGAAATACCAAATGAAAAGACAAAGCAATAAAAATGAAAGAGCCCAAGAGCGCCTGGAATGTATAAACTGACACACACGGCATGTGGATATACCCCTACAGATGGCTCCTGGCACAAGCACGATACACACTGTGGGGAGGGGGTTTCCTTCCTTTTTAAAGTATATATATATGTATATATATATAAAAGTCAACTTCCTATAAACGAACAGCACATCACCACGTTTCCAACTAATGTACAATGAGCTCAGAAGTGGCCCCCGCCACCAACAGGAAGGAGCAACAGCTATTTGTGATGAGTTGGAGGAAACATCTCTTATTTTTGCTAAGGACTCTATTTACAGGGATGAATGGGAATTGTTTCTGGCTTGGCCTGCTTCTTGGGATTCAGGCCTTCTTTCTCGGATTGTGGTCACTCTTCAAGAGTTTGAGGCCTTTTATTTTCCATCCAACATCATCTCTCGGGGGAAGTTGAAAGCTGCCAAGACAATTGCCGAGAGAGAGTTGGCCAGATGGATGAACACACGGGTTTGAAGGACAACCTGTTGGGGTCAGGACCTCTTTTTGAGGAGTGTGGGGGCCCCTGACAGGGTGAGTCCCGTTGCCTACCAAGATGGTGGACATAATGAGGAACTGTTTGGCTTATTCTGTCTCACCACCGGGGGAAAATATTTGAGATTGGTCCTAGCATTGGAATGTCACTTTGGGGGCGTGGGAGAGGCAAAGAGTCACCTGGAGTGGGGGCTGTACAGTTTTGATGTCACCTGCCTGAGATCCCTGATCCTGGGTTAACTTAGGGTGTAAAGAGACTCAGACAATTTCAGAGCCAAACCTCCAGGGGGGAAGGATGGACCATTCATTCAAGGAATGTGGATGAAGAGTGTTGGTAGATCAAAAGGAGGAGCTGATTCCTGGCTGTGATAGCGACACACGCAAGAGACTAGGTGGCCGGGGATAAGTCGGGGTTCCTTTCTGGCCAGAGCTTGAAGGATGGAAAGTCTCTTGCAGTGTCTGCTCCAGTTGAGACCTTGGCTAAACTTGATGGGCTTCATGTCAGAATGTCCTCAGTTATTCACGGGTTCCTTTAAACCAGAGACATGAGCCACCCTGGCCGTGGTCCGGGAAAAGCTTAGTCTATCCTGGCCTCTGTGTTCCTGAAGGCCCCATGATCCAGTCTTAGGATGAGAAACAGGTGAGCCTTTGTCACAGAGATGATCCCATGTGAGAAGGTGTCCTGCCCTTTGTCATCTCAGCTCCTCAGCAGGGAAGTGCTCAGGTCGTTCCCCAAAGCAGCATCCCTTCCCTCCAGGAACGGTTCAATGGCTGAGGGCAAGAGGCCTGGGTTCAGCAAAGAGGTGGCCTCCGTGCCTGGCTGGGGAAAAGCAGTTTGTTCCAGTCCTTGTGGATTCTGTGCCGTGTCTCCCCTCGGGTGCCTTCTACTCAGCACCCCTTGACCAAAGCAATCCAAGCATAGGCTATAAGGATGGTGATGATAGAAATGCATGTAAATCTGATAAATAGTCGAAGGACATGAAAAGGTCCAAGGGAGGAATAGTCAGGGGCTCAAACCATTTTCCCGAAGGCCTCAATGCTTAGAGAGAAGGGGAGGCGAGGGAGTCACTGAAACGGCCCAGGAAAACTCCCTTCCTCTCCTCTTTGGAGGCTTTGGAGTCCCCCATCTGCCCAAGGGTGGGGACTTAACAATCGACTAGCTCTGCCCTCACCCAGCTGTGTGGGTCAGGAGACAGCCTAGCCTTGTGGCTGGAAGTGAGTCAGCATTGAAGGCTGGCCCTCTGGGTGAGACAAGGACCAATCCCTTACCCCAACCTGCTTCCCACTGCCAAAGAGAATGGGTGATCTTGTCTGTGGGGCCAGGAACCTGCTGGTCTGAAAATCCTCCTTCAAAGTTCTGGGGGAAGCTTGTTACAGCTCCAGCTCCTTCAAGAAACAAACACCTGGGCATTTATCCCTTCCTTGTTGCCCCAAGACTGGGCATGCAGGGAAGGGTCTGGATGGAGCCTGGATGGTGAGAAATGGAACCTCTGTGGACTGGGGCTTGGCAGGCATCGGGCCTTTGGCAATAAACAGAGGGAGCTCTATTATGGCACCTCCTCTGAGATCCCTTGGACTCCTCACTGACACGTCCTCCACACGGGTCCCCTCCTCCTCTCCGCTGAGCCAGCTGAGAGGGCCAGACAGAACCTTGGGTTTCTGCCTCAGAGCCAGTGGCTCCAGGTGGCCCGTTTGGGTCATTCCCCTAAGCAGGCTCAGACTGACAGGTCCTCCTCCTGGTGAAGCCTCTTTCTGGTCTTCCTGGTGCCCTGCCTTGGGTAGATCCCAGGACCCCTAGCAGAGGTATATGTAGGGAGGGTTCCAACACCCTTGCAATGCCTGCGTGGCTCCCTGGGAAGATGCCAGGCTGAGGGCCCCTTCTCTGCTGGAGTCCCAGTGTCCAGAGGGGAGAGAGGCCATGGTGCGAGCCCTGCACCTCGCCAGCTTTACCCCCACCTCTGCTGGGGCGCCCATGGGAGCCAAGTCCCAAGGGCTCTGGGCTCTCACCCACATAGCATCCTCCTTCGGGTGATCGCGGTGCTCTGGTCAGGGTGAGATTGGATCATGGGGCCTTCAGGGACACGGAGGCCAGGCCAGGACAAACCATGGCTGGCCAGAAGCCTCATTGGGGGAGAGCAGTGGGCAGGCTCTGGGGGGCATGAGATATCCCTCACCACAGGCGAACACAATGCAGGCTACAGGGATAGGAATGGGCTCCTTCCCAGCCTCCTGAGACCCCAGAGCGGAGAAAGGACAGAGGCTGGGCGGTGCGGGGTCCAAAGGGCTGGGCAGGGGCTCTGGCTGGAGCGCCCACCCGCCCGCAGCCTAGTAGGCCTGGCCAGTTTCCACAGGCAGCAGTCCCAGCACGGCCGAGTGCTCCCCAAGCTTCATGCGGCGCTGTGTGGACAGGCTCACGTTTTTGGCCAGATAATCAACAGCAGCTAGAAAAGAAAAGAAAGAGAAAAGCTTAGAAAGCAAGATTCTGTCTGCCTTTCTTCCACCTGCTCTCTTCCCACCCACTCCCCCACACACAGAGGCATCCATTTATCATTTATCATCCACCCCTTTATCTATCATTTATCAGTTTATCAGCTCCCTGCCACTCCAGCTATCCAGTCACATATGTAGACACACATGTGCACATGAATCCATCCACCATCAATCCATTCATCCATCCATCCATTTATCCAGTTATCAGTTCACTTATCCTGTCCACCCACCTATTCATGCATGCATTCCTTCATTCAGCTGTCAGTTTTATCTCCCCACTCTCTGTCCATCCACTCACCTGTCCATCTATCCACCTATCCATCTGTCCATCCACCCAGCTTCATAAATCTCACCTTCGCCCCAACAATTCACCATTATTTACACCAAACCTATTATTTGTTCAGTTCTGTTGTGGTTTCTTCTAGGGTGGGACAAAAGTTATACACAAATTGTTGGGGGAAAAAAATATCAGTCCCTCTTTCCAATAAATCCTTTCCATCTGCCTATGATGGGGGAGATCTAGTGAGTCCCATGTGGTACCAATGTAAATGAGGGCACCAACCTTCTCTGGACCCTGGGGCCAGCTCCTGAGTAGGGCAAAAGTCCTTTCTCAGAAATCAAAGCATCCTTGGTAGGTGAGCTCGTGGTCCCTGGAGGGGAGCCGGGTGCCGACAGGAAGATGGCTGAGACCTTCAGCCCTCTTAGTTCTGATAACCCAGGGGAAAGGCTTGAGCTCTGAGGGTATGTGCTTGTGTGCTAAGAGGGCAAACAGGACTCTCTGCACAGTAATAATGAACACTCAAGTTCACACCACAGTGGTACCTGTATGCGCATGTGCACAGATGTGTATGAAGAGAACTATGGAATGTCTATATACGCAGACACAGCTGTGCCCAGGAAAGTCCTCAGGAGTCAGGCAGACAGGAGCGTCTGTGCACGTGAGTGCTGGGACAACCACTTGGCATGCCCGTTCCGGCCCTGTACCCCGAGTGCTTGCTGTCCCAGCTGTCCTCCGAGAAACTGCAGCCATCATGGGAGACCAGAGTGATAGGACAGCAGTCAAGGTGCTTGCCTTGTATTTGGCCGAGCCGGGTTCGATCCCCAGCATCCAGATGGCCTCCTGAGCTGCCAAAGTGATTCCTGAGTGCAGGGCCAGGAGTAAGCCCTGATCATGATGGCTCCCAAGCCGAAACAGAACAAAAAAGCAGCAGCAGCAGCAGCAATAGGCCTGCTCAAATGCTTTGACCGTCATGGGACCAAGGCCTCCTGGGGCCCCCAGAGGCAGCCTCTATGGCTGGAAGGTGCGTCTGTGGACAATGCACACAGCTCCATACCTGGCAATGCCAGGGTGCAGAGGCTAGAGGAAGTTGGAGAGTGGCAGGAGGGGTCTGAACCGGACCACCCCCTACACCCCGCAGCCCTCTACATGACTCCAGAAGTGGGGACATGTGTGGAGGGCAGGGGAATGGGGCAGGAGGTGATGGAGGCCAGAGTCGTGGAGGTCTGTAACCTACCACAGGACTCTGGGGTTCAACGATGGCTTGTCAACTCCTGTGTGGGGCTGACCCCCACCTCCCCTCCCCGAGCCCGAAATCGTCCTCTGAAAAATTGGGGTATAATTTTTCAGGGGGTTGATGAGTGGCTGAGGAGTGCCTGAGAACATGCAGAAAAGGGGTCAGGGTGCTCCGGACCCCAGTGTGCTGGGGCTCATGGTTCTTCCCCAGCAGATATGGGAATTAAAAAGCAGATGTGATCGAGGAGAGGAGCAAGAAGGGGAAGAACCACAAATGCAGCTCTCTGGGCTGTGGCAGCCCACCCCAGGCCTATGTCCTCTGTAGAATGGAGAGAACAAATCCCCATTTCTGCTGCCACAAGGCCAGAATAAGAGATTCTGTGATAAGGCACAGAGATATGCAAATGCCCTGGGGTCTTTTAGGAGTATCTGGACCTTGGGTCCCTCCACTTCTGAGCTCTAAGGCCTGAGCCCCTGTATCTGCAGTCACCCAGCCAGCTTGGCTCCCAGGTGGGAAGGGCAGGAGTAAGTGGAGGCTTTACACTGGGGCTGGGTGGATGGGTGAGAGAATCACCCATTTCTGCCTCAGGAGCACGCTTCATCTTTGGCCATGCTATCTCTGCTATTTGCAGTCACCATGTTTGGGAGGAGGGGAGACGGGGGCCACACGGATGCTCAGGACTGCTCTGGGCTCTGGGCTCGGGGATGGTGCCCAGAGGCCCATGCAGTGCTGGGGATGGAATCAGAACCGCACTCGTCCAGACTGGCAGGCCAGCTCCTAATGACCCCCGTGACCTTCTCCAACTGCCTCCTACACAATGAGCCTCCCGAAGAGTAGAGCACCTTACAACGTCAGAGACTTAGTGTACCCCCATCCTGCTGGGGCTTGTGCCCATTTCAGGTAATGCCAGAGACGGGCCCCACTGGGCCCGAGTCAGGAGACATTCCTGGAGTCACAAAAGGCTCTGCTGAACCCCCTCCTCATTCCACACCTTGCCAGGCCCTGATGCCAGTCTCCCTGGCTCTGCTGGTGGGTGGGCTGGAAAGATGAACCTGCCAGAGACCTACGGTGGTCCATGTGATCCTCTGACCAAGCACTGGCTTCAGGGTCACCAGCAGCTCCCACAATTCTTCCAGCAGCCCCACGGCTTTTGATTTGGGGCTTCTCGGTATACAAAGTTGGAAACTGAGGCTTGGGAAGATGGCGGGCCCAGAGTCACACTCAGCACAGGGCTGGGAGGAGCCTGATGCCATCCTGCTGCCATCTCTGCCCCACTGTCTCCCGCCTACCCTCTCCCCGTCACCAGCAGCAGCCTAGCACCCAGGCAAAACTTCCCCGGGCTCTGCCAAGGGGGGCCGAGGAAGGCCCCGGAAGCCCAACTTCCCTGACAATGAGGGTCACTTCAAGGATACCCGTGGCACTGCCAGGCCTGTCTCTCCTGGGGGGTCGAGCCTGGGCGGGCGAGGGCAGGGTCGTGATACTTCTCATGACGGCCTCTGTCAGCAGCCCTCCCTGTCCCTCTGTCTCTCCGTGTCTCCCCTCCTCTGCCTCGCACCCGCGCCTGGGCCCTCAACATCTCAAATTAGATTAATCGGGAGTTGGCAGGAGCTGTAGCCGTGATGCCAACCGGTAAACAAATCTCAGCCGTCAGTGACTCGTCAGCCCGCGGCCCCAGAGGAGGACCCTTCTAGACACAAATTCTTATTAGACTTGTCAGATCTATTAAAATTCTTTTCACACTTCTGCGTTCTATCAGCCCCATCATTAGTACGGCCCTGGCCTCTGGGAACACCAGGGCCATATTAATCTGCCTGGGGCCTCCTCCCTCCCACCCCCACCAACCCCCCCCCCCCCACCACCATACACCTCCAGGGAAGAGACAGACAGACGGACGGAGACGGAAAAGATGTGGCAGCATCCCACAGGAAGGCAGAGGCCCTGGAGAGGGGGTGGATCCTGCTGCTTGCCACTCTGGATAACTGTCCACTCCAGGAGTGCAGGGAGGAAGGATGGGCGGAGGCGGGGCCGGGGCGGGGCCAGAGCAGGGGCGGGGCCAGAGCGGGGCGGGGCCGGGGGCGTGACCAGGGTGGGTGGGTGGGGGCGGGGCTTGTGCACCGGGATTCCCAGGACTGGGGCATCTCAGGCCAACCAGGCTCTGGGCTCTGAAGCCCTCGTGCACCGAACAGGAAGGAGGCCCCGAACCCTGTCGTAAGGTGTCATAAGGACGAAGGCATCACAGAGGCTCAATCCACAGCCATCTCTCCTTACACACCCTGTCCTTCTGAAGCCACGCACTGCTCGGTGAAGGCTCAGGGAGCAATGTCCTCTGTGTGTGTGTGTATGTGTGTGTGTGTGTGTGTGTGTGTGCGCGCCTGTGGCCCTGGCCGTGAGCCCACGTGCGAATGTGTTCGAAGTGCAGTGTTAATGAGCGTCTTCAGCAGGGACCTCTCATCTACTTATGGATTGTGTGACCCTTGGCAAAAGTCCTGCCCCCCCACCCCCACCCCACGGAGCCTCAGCCTCAGTCGTCTCGACAACCAACAACAAATGTCTGTCTTGGATTTTTGTTGTTGTTGTTGTTGCTGTCGTCATTTGTTTGAGAATTTTGTGACATCAAGGACAAGCCTTTTGCCTAATGTCTGATGAACTAAAGCTCACATACGTGCCAGGTGTGAGCCAAGGACCCACTGGGTGGGTGAGGGCATCTGACTCTTGTCCGCAGACGGCAGGAGCTCAGCGCCCACTGACAGCCGGTCAGTGAGAACATGTGCCCTGGGCCATCTCCAAACCTCAAAGGAACAGTGGGAAAACCTTGAACTGACCCGAGTCTGACCCTGGGAGCCCATTTCACAGATGACGAAACTAAGTCTCAGAGAGGCCAGTGACTCGCTTATACAACCAGTGGCAGAGGGGTGAGCTCGGCCTCGGGTCCACCCAGTCCCAGTGGAGGCCGAGGAGTGGGGAGCTGTACTGGGGTTCGCAGGGAGGCTGGAGAAGGGGCGCGGGAGGGGTCCTGAGCTGTGCCAGGAGAGCGGAGGAGTAGAGGGGAGGGTGGGGGGCCGGAGGGTGTGGAGGAAGGGGAAGTCTCTGTCCAGCCTGCCTGAGAGAGAGAGCGGGCGGGAACAAACGCTCCCGTCCCGCCTCCTGGGCCTTTCTCTTTTGATCCCCCCTCCTGCGCTGCCCCTTCGCTGACTTTGGGGTTAATTTTATTTCCGACTTGGGCAGACGCCCCTGGCGTGGGGCAGGGTGCTCTGGGTGTGACTAACGCCTGCCCCGGGCCGGGGCTGCTGCCGGCGCTGGGGCTGCTCTAAGTTCTTTATCAAGAGCATGTGTGTCCTGCTCCACGCCGGGGGAGCACAGGCTGGGCCGGGGGTCGCCCTGGGGCCCTCTGCAAACACTCCTGGTGCACCCCACTCCCAGACCTGCACACACAGACACTCGCCACGTCTCAGGCCCACCCGCCACACCCAGACTCACACATGTAAGACACAGACGTGCACTCCCCCGAACACACACTCACAGACAACACGCTCCAGCACACATCTGCCCATGTGTCCAAGGGCCATCCCACACATCTGCACGGTGACATATGTGAGCACACAGACCCTCGAACCAATGCACATCGAACACAGGTCAGACGTGTGCCCACGCGCAAACACACACAACCCCTTCACACAATCACGCACCTGGCCACTCACACACAGGGCTGACATCTAACACACGTGGGAGAGCGCTGCCTAGCCTATGTGTCCACATTCACACGCACACGTGTGAGCACGCACATAGCCAGGGAAGGGGTCTTAACACGGCAGGAGGAGGGGGGCCGGCCCAGCTGGCCCTCATTTAGCCGTGGAGGCCACGGCGGTGTGAGCAGGACAGGGTTAGTGTGGGGGCAGGAAGCAGGGGTCAGGGGGGCCAGGCTGGGGCCCAGGCACAGCCGGGAGAGGACGCCCGTGGGCTGGGAGGTCGTGCCCTCTCGCCACACGCCCTTCTGATTAGTTTGACACCGGCAGGTGAGGCTGTGCCGGGAGGTGGGGCAGGAGGGGAGCCCGGTGACCCCGGGTCCCTGCCCGCCAGCTGGAGGCGCAGGCCAGGTCTGCCCTCCGCAGCCGCTGGTGTGAGGAGGGGCCGGTCCTCTGTTTCCAGGCCCCTGGGTCAGGGGAGGAAAGGCTGAGGTGGGCGCCTGAGACCAGCTTAAAGTTTGGGGAAACCGACACTGAAGTTGGGGTGGAGGAAGCTCCAGCAGCAGAAATGGGCGGGTCCCGGGCTGGAGCAATAGCACAGCGGGTAGGGCATTTGCTTTGCACGCGGCCGACCCGGGTTCGATTCCCAACATCCCAAATGGTTCCCCAGCACTGCCAGGAGTAATTCCGAGTACAGAGCCAGGAGAAACCCCTGAGCATTGCCGGGTATGACCCAAAAAGCAAAAAAAAAAAAAAGAAAAAGAAAAGAAATGGGTGGGTTCCCTGGCACAGGCCTGGCCTCTCTCCCCTGGATGCCACTTCGAGAGCATTGGTGAGGAGTCCCATCTGACACAGCAAATTGTGTTAGATTTAAATATTTTAAAAACTGAAATCTGGGCCTGGAGAGATAGGACAAGGGTCCAGGTGCTTGCCCTGCACACGGAAGTCCCTGATTTGAGCCTGGCACCACACATGGCCCCCAGGCACTGCCAGGAGTGACTCTGAGCACGGAGGCAGGAGAAAAAACCCTGAGCACCAGCGAGTGTGGCCCGCACACACAAGCAAACAAAAATAACCTGAAATTCTACTTAGTTTGCAGATGGGAAATGAGTCAGTATATCTGGAATAACGGTGACATATAAATCTATGACCCGAGTTGTAAATTTTTATGAGATTTCAATGCAGGTCAAGTATCTCCAATAAAAACTTAGTGTGTAGATTGCAATGGGCTGATAAATGATGTTAGTGAATAAATAAAAATGATAAAATAAGAGGGGATGATCTCAAAGATATTATATTCAAGGAATATAAAAATCTCATTAATAGTTGTTGATGGGTTATCTGTTGAGGCAATCACCTTTTGGATATGTTGAGTTAAATACTATAGTTAATATTTAGTAAAAATAATCCCACTTGTTTCTTCTTATGCTTTAAGAAACGGCTTTTCGGGGGCTGGAGTGATAGCACAGCGGGTAGGGCATTTGCCTTGTATGCGGCTGACCCGGGTTCGATTCCCAGCATCCCATATGGTCCCCCGAGCACCATCAGGAGTAATTCCTGAGTGCAGAACCAGGAGTAGTCCCTGTGCATCACGGAGTGTGAACCAAAAAGAAAAAAAAAATTTTTTTAAATGGCTTCTAGGGCCAAAGCAATAGTGCAGTGGGCAGGGCATTTGTCTTACATGTGGCCAACCCAGATTTCATCCCTGGTACCACATTTGGTCTCCCCAGTCCCTCCCGGAGTGATCCCCTGAGCACCACTGATGTGACCCCCTCCCCAAAAAAATAACTAACACAAACAACAAAATTTTAAATGTGGCTACTAGGAAAAAAACCTGGTGGAGGGGGATGGTTTGAGCTGTTAGTGCTTCAGGCTTACACCTGGCTCAGTGCTTGGGCGGGGATACTCCCAACAGTGCTCAGGGGACCAGGTAAAGCCAGGGATCAAACTCAGGCTTCCTGCATATAAAGTATACACTCCAGCCCCGTGAGGATTTTAAATTTGTGGCTCACATATTTCTGCAGGCCAAGGTTGCTTGAAGATGGTCGAGCAGACGGGGACCCAGCTCAGTTGCCTCTGGAGGCAGCAATTCCTCCTTTCTGAATCTCAAAAACCCTTATCCGTGCAAAGGGCACCCCACCCAACATCACCTTTTGGCTCTTGATGATAGGAAGCCCCTGAATGGGGCGGAAGCTGTAGTGGGGGAGGGAGGGCAGCGTGAGGGAGGGGGCACGAGGGGGGCACTGGACACTCACTCTGGCCGTACTGGCCGTACTGGTAGCCGGCCACGGGGTCCACGCTGTAGCCGGTGGTGCTGTAGGTGGGCGGGCAGTAGGACTGGGAGGTGGGCAGGCTGTCTCCCGGCTTGATGGAGTCGGCCCTCTGGCTGCAGCTGGCCGAGATGGATGTGGCTGAGTCCAGCCCACCGTGCAGAGGGGAGATGGAGAAGTCGGCCTGCGGCTGAGGTGGCACGGCGCTGGGGTTGCTGAGAATGCTCATCACCTGCAGGGGAGAGAGAGTCAGTGCCGGGGAGCCCTCCGGAGACGCTCCGTGGGCACCCCGTCACGTCCAGAGCCTCAGCACAGCCGGCGTGGGAGGAGAGATGATGAGCGGTTAGTAGTCCTGACCAGCGGGGTCTCCCCCTACTGAGAGCTCTCAGGTCCAGGGCCTCAGTGATCGCTCTCTCTCTGCACCCACCCCAAGGGGCACTTGGCAGCTGAACGCATGACGTACATGTGCGTGCATGCACGCGTGCACGAATGACTGACCCGATCGCGGGTGTCTCTCCCCTTGGACAGGGATCATGCTGGACAGGGATCATGCCTCTCCCATCCGACTGGGATGTGCCTTCCTTGTCTGACTCTAAACCAGTTGGATATGTTTGGCGTCCCGTGCCCGTGGGCCCTCTTGTCACGTCCCCTCGTCCCTGGTTAGGCGTGCTCTGTTTCTGTTCTCGACCCCTCGAGCTTTGCCCCGACACTCATGTACATGGATGATGCTTTCTAGCCACACTGCCCCAGGCCCCAGGCCCAGCCCTGATCCTGGCAGCTCCAGGATGTCTGTGAACATCCCAGCGACGCCCCCCACCCACCAGTCTTAGCTTAATTTCACAAAGGAACCTGCCATCCATGCTGGCCACTTGGATGCAGAGGAAGAGGTCCGACTTTAGAAACCGAGCTGAAGGGATCTGCTGTTGGCTCCTGGGCATGTTCTCTTAGTCAATCAGCAAACACTGGTCGCAGGCCTCCCTTCCTAACAGACATCAGAGCAGGAAGAGCTACAACCCCTGAGGAACCTTCGGGTCCCAGCCCATAGGGGAGGGGGGAGTATCTGGATCTGGGTGAAGGAGACAGCCAGCAACAGTCCATCCAGACTCAAAGTGGCCAGTCACTCAATGCCTGGATGCTCTGGGTGGAGAGGAGGGAGAGAAAAGACCTCCAGGCAATGCGGCCCCTCTGTGCGGTAGCATGGTGGTGGTGGTGGGGGGGGTCAGCCTTGCTGAGAACCTTCTAGGGCAGAGCTAAAGAAGCAGGCTGTAGGGGCCGGAGAGATAGTATAGTGGGGTGGACGTTTGTCTTGCACGCAGTGGACCGGGATTTGATTCCTGGCATCCTGTTCCCGGCATCCTATAGGGTCCCCCGAATACCATCAGGAGTGACTCCTGAGCACAGAGCCAGGAATAAGCCCTAAGTGAAAGTGTGGGCCACAGGGAGTGGGCCCCAAAACACACATACACAAAATATACAGGTTGCAATGCCAGCAGCCAGGCACACCAACTCCCCAGCCACCATCTGGAAGAAGGCAGGCTACGGGTTCTGATGCTCTAAAGTTACTGCCAACTCGATACCATTGAAACCCCCTGCCCCCATTCACTCTTGTTTTGGGGTCACACCTGGCAGTGCTTGAGGGCTGCTCCTAGCTCAGTGCACACAGGACCACGTGGTGCTGGAGATGCAAGCACGAGCTCTCCAGCCCACTGTCCCTCTTCTGACTTGCCCCTGCGAGGAGCACCAAGACTCGGCCAGGGCAAGTTGGTGTGCCTGGCTGCTGGCATTGCACAGTAGGGGCATCCTCAGGCAAGGAGAGGCCCTGAGCTCCTCCACTTCCTGTCTGGCTGTAGGTGTCCTTTACCTGCTGGAAAGGGGATGATGAGGCCGTCGGGCACATGCTAAGTGCTCAGGAAACCACGCTGGCAGCTAAGCCCATTCTCCTCCTCCTTCTGCCTCCCCCTCGCCATGAAATCACGTGACTCTCCCAGTCCAGGGCCCACAGAGGGGCCTGGCCCATACCTATGACGGGAAAGCTGCATCCAAGGAGCTTCCCTGCTCTGGGAATGCAGTCTGGGGGCCTAACCAGACACCCCCACCCCACCCCCCCCGCCTCACCTGATACCCTCCAGAGGACTCTCCAAGTGAGTTTCGGGCAAGGGATGTTTTAGAGGGCTCAGCTGCTGGTGGTCCCCTGGACAGCTCTTGGGGGCTGGCTCCTTATAGACAAGCCTCAGCCCTGGAGGGGGGAACCACTCCTCTGCCTTTTCCCTGACCCCCAGACACAGAGGTCGGGTGCTGAGAAGGTCAGGACTCCCATCTCCCTGCAGCTGCCAGGGTCAGGTCTGCCGGGACAGCGTGTGGAGCCGCAGTATACAGGCAGGGACACTGAGGCTCGTTTTCCACCAAAGGTGAGTGTGTGGCAGCCGGGGGGTCAAGGGGGCGGGTCGGGGGGCGCTGCTACAAGCAAGGAGCTGTCTTGGGAAGCTGAGGTCTCAGACTCACTGTGTCCAATGCACTTCCGTGGTGGTAGGGGTCCCGAGAGATAATACAGCAGGCAGAGTATTTGCTCTACAAGTCTGGGTTTGATCCCCAGACACCCATGTGGTCCCCTGCGCCCACCAGGAGTGATCCCTGAGCACAGAGCCAGGAGTAAGGTCTGTGTACCACTGGGTGTGGCCCTCCCCTAAATAAAAAACACGATGAAACAGGGGAACCTTGGGGAAGGGAAAGTAAAGAGTGATGGTGGAGAATGGGCACTGGTGGAGGGATGGGTACTCGATCATTGTATAACTGACACCCAAGCACAAAAATCTGTAAGTCTACAACTGTACCTCATGGTGTTTCACTAGTAAAAATTAAAAAATAAAATAAAATAATGAATCTGAAGCTACGTCCAGGCAAACTCTCACAGAAACTAAATTGTACTCACTAAAAAAAAAAAAAAAAAGGGAAGCAGGCTGACAGGCAGGGTTTGTTTCCCCATGTCAAGTAAACCAGGGATCTAACGGGCCAGTGATGCTCTCCCCATTCCTGTCCAGCTTAGAGGCACTCCTCATCTGAAATTAAGATTCCCTGCCTCCCAGCACCCCACCCCCACCCCTCAGAGGAGGAACCCAGGGCTGAAGGAAAAGGCACCTCTCTTCCTTTAGGATACCGGAAGGGGCAGAAGGGGGTCTCTGGATGGGCTGCTAATGCCAGGGTGCCCCCAGGTTGAGCCTTTTGCCCACAAATCACCAAGGCACCAAGTCCAGAAACCCACAGAGATAGGGTGGAGGGTGAGGTCCGGGCCAGAATGGATGTGCAGGTCCCAGTTCTCACCCGCAGGCGGAAGGATGAGTGTGTGGGCCTACTTCTCCCCCTGCAGACAGACGCCTACAGAGAGCCCTTGCCATCCTACAGGGCAAAGGGCAGAGGCTTCTTGGCACCCGCTCTCCCTGCTGGCCCCTTCTCCCACCCCTTCCTCCCAGCAACCCCAAAACAGCTGCTGCAGTTTCCTGGGACATTTGGAGATGGTGGTGGTGGTGGGGGTGGTGGTGGTGAGCAGGAAGGAGGGTGTGGGGCACCCCTGGCCATGCCCAAGGCTACACCTGGCTTGGTGCTTGATGGTCATTCCCAGCAGAGCTTGGGGGACCTGGAGATGCCAGGGATAAAACCCAAGCCTCCTGCAAAAGCCAAGCATGTGCTCTGGGCCCTTTGAGCTGCCTCTCCAATCTCCTGAAGACATCCTTCACTTGTCCACCTATTCATTCAACAAACATGCCCACAAGACAGGAACTGTGAGGTCTGTGGGGGCAGAAAGCTGGCAGCCCCAATGCAACACTGCTTGGGTGGTGCCTGCCACACACAAGCTCAGGAAATCCCTGCCTGCTCCCTGGTCATTTATGGAGCCCCTCTCGAGGGGCAGACCCCGATCCTGGCCCCAAGCATACAGTAATGTGCATGAGCGTCTCCATGTCACCTGCCAGTCTCTTGAAGCAAGTCGATTACCAAGAAATGAACAGGCCAATCATATACCTTCTGATGCTGATGAATGCTGGGGGTGGGGTGATAAGGGGGCCAGAGGGAGCATCTTACAAGGCCTCCTCCCAAAGATGTGATATCTAGCCATACTAAAAAAGAATCAGCCATGGAACGACAGAGCCAAAGAGCTTCCCAGCTGCAGAAACAGCATGTGCAAAGGCCCTGAGGTGGGGACATAGCCAGCAGGTTTGGGCAATGGTGAGAAGAAAGTCAGAGAGGAGCGTAGCAGTCTCGGGCAAGCCTGGTACTTTTTTTGTTGTGGGGGGAGGGTTGCTGCAGCTTGGACCCTGGGTCAGTCCACTCAGAAACTGTTCAGATCCAAGTCTCTCCCGAGAGGGAATTTCTCCAGGGAGATTTTTCTGGAAACATCAAATCAAACCCACATCTGTGATGGATCGCCGTGAACGGAAGTGTGCAGGATCTACTCGCTGGCTCCGGGAGCCCCTGGGGGCTGGGCTGGGGGGATTAAAAGGACGTCCATGTCACCCCGTTCCCCCCCGACACCCCGCCCCAGCCTGTCCCAGACAGCAGGACCCAATTGCAGGCAGCGGAGAAAGCAGTTCCTGTTGCAGATGGGGAAACTGAGGCTGGAGGAGGGGGGAGGCAGTCAGCGGGGGTAGACTGGGACCTAACGGGCTCCCTCCACCTTGCTGTGCTGGAGGGGATGGAGAGAGGGGTCCAGGGCGAGCACTGGCTGTGGACCCGGCGCAAGTCTTTCTTTGCCGGTGGAAGCAGGAAGCAATCGCCCTCCTTGGGGGCCCCGCTGAGGTCCAGGGCCTGCAAACTTTTGAACTTGAGGAAGTCCTGGTCTGATGCGGTAATCTCCCCCCTCAAGAATGCTCAGGCCTCTCCCCCGGTGGGTTTTCCTTCTTTCCCGGTGACCTTGCTTTCGCTAATGTATTACTTCTTGGTACGTTACCGTTACTAACTCAAAATCAATACCGACCTCCACATCTGTAAGGGTTTATCTGAAGGCAAATCTCGGGCTGTCCGTCAGGCTGAGTGACAGCCATCCCTTCCTCTCCCCCCCCACCCCACACCCGCCGTGGCCCCTGCCCGCCCCCAGCCCCTTCCTCTCCCTCTGCTCTAAATCAGTCCCAGCCTCCACCAGACTAAATCAATAAGGGGCCCGGCCTCACCCCGCCTTCCGCTGCGGGGAGAGGCTTGCAGGTTTGGGGGGGAGGTGGGGGCGGCGGTGGCCCCCGTGCCAGA